GCTTCGGTCGGGACTTGTCGAGTATTGGTTAGAAGGACTGGCTGATTATGTGCTTGGTTATAGATGAACCTAGCCTGAACCAAAAAATGATTCTTCGCATACAGATGATTTGTTATTACCATCTATTAACCTCGGTTTGTTTGAGTTGACGGGTCGGTCATGTTGTTGTATCTGGTCTATACAAATGATTGGCACTGACACGGCTGCTGCGATGGAAAACCAATGAATCGGTATGTTGCTGCGTAGGAATCAATGTAGGGCTCACCATTTTAGTGGACCACTATCTGAATGCAATATTTATGAACAGTCGAATATACTACGAAAAGCTCTAAAGAAACTCAAAACCAGGGAAGATATAGTCATAGTTCCAGCGGACAAAGGACGCACGACAGTGATCATGGACAAGGAAGAATATATGAAGAAAGCCGAGGATCTACTTCAGGACAGAAGCGTGTATAAACCAGTAGACACAAACCCTATAAAAACGTTGGACAATCAAATCTCAAAGATTCTAAATAAGCTTATCAAAGCAGGACAAATATCAAAACAAGATCAATGGAGAATGAAATCCAATGGACCAATAATTCCACGATTCTACGGTAGGCCGAAACTCCACAAACCTAACATCCCACTACGTCCTATTGTATCCCTCCCCGGAACCCCGACCTACAACTTATCAAGAGAAATTTCAAGGATATTAAAAAGTCTGGTGGATGAATACAACTACTGCATTAATTCTGCCACAGAATTTTTGGATAAACTGAAGAGGATTCAAATTGACAACGACGAAATGATGATATCCCTCGACGTAACAGCCTTATTTACCTCAATAAAGCCAAGCATGGCTAAAGAAACTCTTTCTCTGCTCCTCATCAACGACACAAATCTACACAAATATACAAAGCTTCAGAGTCAAAGTCTGCTTGAACTCATCGACCTATGCTTAACAACGTATCTTCAATTCAACAACAGAGTCTACGAACAAATAAAAGGAACACCAATGGGATCACCAATATCAGGATTCATCACCGAAGCTGTCATGCAGAGACTGGAAGCGTCGATTCTGCCAGTGATCAAGCCAAAAATGTGGGTTCGCTATGTAGACGACACGTTCGTTATTATCAAAAGGAATGAGCTGGAGAACACCTACAATCGGATCAACAACGTCTTCGATGACATCAAATTCACGATGGAAAAGGAATCAAACAACAGCCTATCATTCCTGGATGTACTAATCACCAGAACTAACACAAGAAAACTAGAAACTCAAGTATTTCAGAAGCCAACACACACAGACGTAATTCTCAACTACGACAGCAACAACCCAAGAACCCACAAGATCAACTGCATAAAAACTTTGTTCAAGAGAGCGAGGACACACTGCAGCACATACGAAGCATAAAAAAACGAGGAAAAACACCTGATGACTATCTTCCAAAAGAAAGGCTATCCACGCAACTTCATCAAAAACCATCAACCGAAACGATCATCAGAAGCGAAATCCAGCACAGAAACAAATAAACGCATCATCCTACCACACATCAAAGACATATCAGAGCATACAGCATGACTACTGAAACCATTTGGAATAGGTGGCATACAAACCAACAGAATCCCTTCAATCAATCCTATGTAGACCAAAGGACAAAATGACAAAGGAAGAAAAACCAAATATCATCTACAAAATAAATATCTCAAACTGTGAAAAACACTACATAGGACAAAGTGGACGACCTCTTAAGCTTCGTTTACGTGAACATCAATCAACAGTCAAACGCCACGACAACGCTTCGCTTATATCAATACACACCGACAATTATGGACACACATTAGATTGGAACAATGTGGAAATACTGGGTAGGGGGAGGACAAAGAACACTAGAGAATTTTTAGAAGCTTGGCACTCAGGCCAAACAGCAATCAACAAACACATCGACATTGACCCAATTTATCAACCAATCAGGAAAATCATAGGTGACACTGGATCAAGAAACAGATCAAAAGAGGGAGGCAATTAAAACATAGTTGCAAACAACGACAGGTCAAAGGTCGACAACAACCAATCAAGATCGAGGTTAGCAGAACAAGCTACAGGTCAAACGTGGAGAAATTCGAATGCTTCACTTCTACTATAAGTTTGTGTTGATGATGTTGTTCAGAAGAACAGTGAAAGCTCCACAACCAAAACAACTAGCTCAGAGAACAAAACACCACTACAATAAATCTCTCCTTCAGCATCCGTATATCAGACTTGCGTGATGGCGTTAATTAGAAGCCAGTTGCAGATTTGGTTGGACAAATTTATTTCAGACAGTCATCCAATCGTCCAACTCGAATAATTCCATGTAAGTTTTTGAGTTTCGTTCAAGTTAGTTTTATGGTACTGTGGAGGGATTGAAACTACCTGTCGCGAGATTACCAAGTAAAATCCCATTAATTCCGAAAATCAAAAGGAAGACTGTGACTAGATGGCAAGGTGTATTGATTCGTGGTCTAGTGATATCGAAATGGTGTGAAGACCGGAATAAAGCAGCAGCTAACAACCACCACGGAGAAACGGGGAATGGGAGTAACACGCTTGCCGCGCGGGTCTTTAGTACAGTTAAACTAAAAGGAGTAAAATAGAACTGTTATGGTTATAATTGTTCTTTTCGTAAAAGCATACCACTACAGTACCTTGTTCTTAGTTGACTCTTACAGTAATTACAATCTTGGGTATTCTTTCGATTTTTCTTCACCCATAACTCCGTTGACAGTGTTTGTAGAATTCTTTTTGAATGTTTTGTTTTTGGGAAAATCCCTCCATGTTTACATATTTTTGCCATGACATGATGGACTTTTTCTCTTGACATTTTTGGTATTTTATTTGATTCCAATTTGAGATTTTACCATTGTGTGTCGTTATTCTTTCCATATTTTGTACCTATATTGAAGTTTTTGTGTTTGCTTCTGAATTGTACATATATTGTTTAAATTTGATATAATATGGCTACCGCCACATTTTTTGGATAGACGCAGTGGCTGCTGAACTTAGTGTCACTTACTAGCTATTGTAATAGATACTCTACGGAGTAATTTAGTCCTGGAAGAAACATAAACATCGTAAGTCTCTGTATTTCCATTTTTTATAACAATAGAGACGGTTTTCTCCTAGAATTTTCGGCTTTCTGATTTGGCTGGGACGTGAATCTAGGAGAATCGTACCGGTGTGTTTCTATTGGACGCGATTAGGACAGCCGCCGGCGAAATAGATTCTACAGTGTTTGTCTGTACCTATATATGCATGTAGCCAAATTCCTGCGTTCCTGTGGAGCAAGAAGTGCAATGTAATGAGTGTAATAGATGCTTCCACAACATGTGCACCGGTTTGAAACCCACCGCTTACAAGAGATTTCAGAAGCTTAGCTCCTATTGAATTAGTATTTTGAGAGTTTGATCCAGGAGGAAATGGGTCTTCTGGCATCGTCCAGCAGGAAATTTAATGGTAGTCGTAATGGTGACTCGAGCAATGATAGTGAGGATGTGCCACTGTGGTCAGCGTAGTTACGGGAGGAGTCAAGCACCCGGCTACAAAATATGTATAACAAAAGACCCAGACAAAATCTTCACCATTTCAGTTAGTCTTGATGTTGCTCTCCGGAGTGACGCGAAATGGATGAAAGCGCAGAAACGAAGAAGGGAAAAAAATATCCGACCCTACAGATAGAGCACGTTTGGTTGAAAAGTCTTAGGTGGGCACCTATCCTTAGTCACAGGATACTCTATCAAGGTTACGAACCAAGACTAAGCTCAACAATAGCGTTTCGGCAAAAAACTTGATTTCGTATCACTTTGTCAAATAACTCTGCAGTAGTCTGGATCGAAAACCTGATAAGAATAGTTAAGAGGGCTAGAAGAAATGTTGAGCCTCGCCAGTGTAGACTCCTAAAGGTAATCTTAGGGTCGTAGAGACGACTAGTGGAATCGATGAACGAATAAAAGCCATGCATCACAGGTGTGAACGAGATGCTTATTTAGCGATTTTGTTAGACATAACAGATGCTCAATGTAATGGTATTTTAATGCACCCGATATCAACTGGACAGAGATGTTCACCCTGGGATCTAAAAATCCTTCCTTTAGTAGGCTCATGGTGCCTGTAATGGGACATGATTTAGTACAGCATGTAAATGAACGCACACGTTTTGATTCGAACCAAAGATCTTTGATAGAATTAGTGATCACCCATATACTCGAGGATATTGCCTGTTCAAATGTTTCCCTTCAGTTAGCTAATAGAGACTATTCTGCTTTGTCATTTGTATTTGGGGATTGTAACACAGTATGTGATTAGGTTCAATCTTGTCCAAATGTGTGGAGTGCAGACATAAAGTCATGCAGGAGTGTGCTGTAACAACGGAATAGTCAGTAAATACTGGTCTACCAGCTGCAGGGGTGGTATAAATGTAAAGTTTCAATTAACCCAGTTACGTCTCTGTTTATACCATGTTTGGTACAAAGTAAACCACTATGGAAAATTAGGGAGGTCAAGAAACTTCTTATACCCGGGAAAAGGCATCAGAATATGTTTAAATTCACGGGCTCTAAATAATACAGATCCTCTTATTGTAAGCGTAGAAATGCATGCAGAGTATTGACAGGTAGGATCAGACATTTTTATGAGGAACAAATGGTTAGGGGTCGTAAAAATGAGCTTGGAGACTGCTCGGACACCTGTTATCATACAGTAGGTCACTAGGCGATTCACTACTCCCTTACCGTAGATCAAATGAGGGCCTTGCTATTGTAATATTTTATATTGTCCTTTCATCCAGGACTGATCTTCTGCGGGACTTTCTAAGGGAATTCAAAAACAGATAAAGTCCTTAACCTCTGAAGATCTTTACTCTCATCGAGTTGTGCATTACTGGAATTCTGTATCAGAAAAAGTAATATCAGAGCAAAGTTGATCCTTCATAAGGACTAATATAAGTTGATTGACATCCTACTTTTACGATTAAATACTGTATACAGGATATTGAACGCTCCATTTTCAACTTCAAGGTCTGTAGCGCTCTTATTACTACTGGACCAGCTTTTAGTCCGAATTTTCAGGTTGTCTTTGCCTCATGCTTATGTTTTCGCCTGCCCTAATAAGTGTAGAGGCATTCTGTGTGCTTGCTGAGTCGTTGGCTCACTTTACTGCTTGTTTTCCCTCCTAGGTAATCTCACTGCTCTTTGCAAGGTATCCTCAAGCTAGACCCAAACTTACCAGAAGTTAGACGTTACAGATCTGTAGCGCATTAAAGACTGCACAACATCCGATTCCAGCTTCGATTTATTGATTGTCTTAATATGAGGCTTGTGTTATCTGTTGTGTTATTATTCTCCACATTGCAACTAACTAATCCCCGACCTGGTTATGTGATAGCTGCTGGCATCCAGAAACCCCACTGCCCTGAATTGAACGTGCCCACCAGAATCATAGGAAATTAAAGTTCATGAAGAAATTACAACTAATTAGAATTAGTGCAGTCGAGTGGCTAGGCTACTATCCAATGGACAAGACGACATACTGGGAACCGTACCGAAACAACAAGAAGCGAGCAGAAAGAAACCTATTGGCTTATACTAACTCGTAAGAAAAATGATCAACATTGGTTATTACTGACTTATTTATTGCTTTCTTTGTTAATTGTAAGTGCACGATGTGCGCTTTGTAGATCGTTGGCTCATCTTTTCTGTTTTCTTTTCCAACTATACTCTTCACGCTACTGTGCATGCTCCCCCAGTACACGAAGTGTATTTTGGATAACGCAAACCAATACAAGTCGTGGGTGCTCTTATCAGTTATCCCTCGTGACAATTGAATCTACGTCTCGTAACATTTTTGCCCGTCCAAATAACACTTTTAAGAAAACAAGAACTCACAGTCAAAGGCAGCAGAAGAATGTTGGTGTAAGTATTACTGTGTTTTTAATACCATGCATTTTATGTTTTATCACTCATTTCTAAGTTACTTTCCAATGATGGTGGTCGCGGAACGTCTGTTTTACTAACTCTGGGTAGATAAATAAGCATATAACTATTGAAATCGGAGAAAAATTCGGGATTTAATGTTCTATTTTTCAGTAACTTGTTATAAGCATATCCTGTAGAATATCTGACAAAAATTTAAGTCTGTACTTTAGCGTTTTGGCGATAAAACAAATGTAGATAAGGTTATTTTCATTCATTCCATTGATTCATTGCTTCGCATTCGGCGTTTCTTGGCTGTTTTAAGCCGTCAGACAATTTTACTTTACAGCCTAATAAAAGTGAACCTGGTTTGCAACCTCTCAGTAATTAAATAGAATGACACTACGCCAACGTAACTGTAGATCCGTTTAAATTTAGTAATTCATATACAATCAACTACATGTATCCATGATGCATTTTAGAATTCCTTTTATTGTCCATTATCCCTCATGGATTTACGTGTATGTTTTTGAGTAAAGTATATCGTTATTTCATTCTTACCTTATTTAGATCAGCTTTGGCCTGTCAGTCATTGCCACATTACTCTGATTTTGATACAACCTCGGAAAGTGGTCTTTCCGAGTTGTCATATGTTCTTCCTTATCGTCCAAAGAGATCATTAGCGAAAAATAAGCGTTTGAAGACTAGTCCTGGTGTTATACGACTTGGAGCAAGAGCTATGAGAAGACACGAAAATGGTACGTGGTAATTTTTCGATAAATATTTCATTCACTATGCCAAACACATTTTCTTCCCAGCGGTCTTGAGAATTATTTAGTTAATAATAGCTCCGTAGTGTGAACCAAGCACCGTTTCTTTACCTTTAAAAATAGTATTTTAGATCGAATTGCTTCATCCTAGCCTTTGACGGATCAACTGTTACTCCCTTACACCATGATTCAAGATTAGGATTGTTATTTCCCATTAAGAATTCATCATTATTGAACTAGGAAGTTGGATTCGGTGGTCAAGGTTAACTAACTCTACATGATGTTTTTTTAAAACAATTTGGTATGAAATTTAACATTGGGACATGTATCCGTTCCTCAGCACCGATTCATACTATTGTTACAAACTAAACAGTTCTATCTTATTAAATCATTTCAAATCGGTACTTCGCTATAGTGTAATACACTTGCGTGAGATGTTTTGCTTTTTTTAATTCACCTTGTAGTGGCCATAGAAAGTGAAATTTACAAGCTTTTTGGCTAAACTCTTAAATATCTAGTTTTAATCGCTGACAATGGTCGTATATACATGGTTCTAAGCCGCTCAAAAGTAGAACAAAAAAAGCTGTTTAGTTCTTTCTGATTACCGATGGTTCTCCAGGTGATATTAGGTAATGGCTTCGTCTTTAGGACTTTCAACTTTCATCCATTAGCTCACAGGTTTAACTCTCACTTCAACTACTCCTGTGATAGAAGACTGTTAATATCACACTAGCCTTTACACTCAGAATATATTCCAAAATCAAGTACACATTCGTGTACTTAGTAGGTGAGCTAATCAGTAAAGATGTCAGTCTATGTTGCCCACTTGTGCTTCAAGTCACTTAGTTATTCGAAATCACTAAACCTGGTAAAAGTCCACTACTCACTCACTCACCAAAAATATTCTTTACATTAGTAATTCTGTATAAATAATTAGTGAATCGTGGCTTGTAAAACGAGCCAAATCAAGTTGCCTACTCTATGGCCATTACATACACACATCAAGTAACTTCTAATGATTTTTAAACAGTCTTGCTGTTTAAAAGTCAGATAAATCTTTAAAACTGTTCAAAAGTTGATGATTGTTGAAATAATACATTAAACTACATTAAATGCGTATCGTTAACCTAACACTATATATAGATTTCATCGTTTACCATTATTATTATTACTATTTTTTGCAGAAGTTTATTTACATACATTAGCTGCAATTACTGAAATTGATGGTGACAATATCGATGATTACTGGCCTGACAGTTTTAATTATTGTTCAGCGTTTACCAAGTTACTAGAAGATGAGAAGTAGGTTTGTAAATTTGGTGATTCACTTAGATTTATTACTAGTTTTCTTATTAAGACATGAAGGTTTTATATTTGGTTGAAGTTAAACGGTTTATTTAGATGAAAACTACTGAGATGTATAGTTTTTTTTCAATTCTAATGGTCAAACATCTCTTGTATGTCGTCAATCAGGCAGTCAGTTACAACATAGAATCAATCATACAATCGAACTTACATACAAACAAAAATGACTGATAAAGAACTTGTAGAAATCATTGCATAAAACGTTTTATAATTTGATTGTCTGTATTTATTTATCGCCTTCACATTAGCCGATGAAAAGAATAGCTGTTTTTTCGTGGCTAGAGATTACCTAAGTGTCAGTCAGTCAGTCAGTCACTTACAACGTAGAACTTCGTACGTACGTACGTACACAAGTTCATGTTGCTATACCACATTTGCACAGAGACGCAACTATCACTTCAAATCCCATAGTAGTAGAGGTAGTAGAAGTATGAGCAGTAATCAGAGAGATTAGGGTTCAAAGATATTATTCAAGAAGTAGAATCTAGTTAATTCAGAAGTAAGGTTAGGATTTGACAGAATACAAAGAGTGGACGCGCCTGCTTGGTCCATTGCACACGCTTTTGAACCATGTCATTCAGGGTCTCTAACCATCAATTACTATCGTCTCGCGGGCCCAAACCAGGTAGTCGACACCTACCAATATGACTCAGTCCACTTGTCACTGCCACATTTTGGTATGGTCGCCCCTAGCTTTCTTCCAACCTATTTCTACACCACAAAACATAGCCCGACGAGTCAGTCGGTTGTTAGGCATACGTAACACGTATCCAAACTACCTCAACTGATGAAGTTTCACTACTTTTATCTGTTGATCTGCCATCCTTATCTTGTATGTGATTGGTATATATAACGAAATGTATAAAAATGAAACTTCAGGACTGTTTAGTCTGAACAATTTGATTAGATGATAAAAATATTTTGAGAGTAACTTTCAGTTTGATTCAATCGATGAAGTATTGAAACTTCACCAGTTGAGGTGGTTGGGACGTGTTGCGTATGCCCAACCACCGACTGCCTCGTCGAGCCTTGTTTTGTAGTGTAGGAATAGGTTGGAAGAAAGCTAGGGGCGGCCAAACCAAAACATGGCAGAAATCCATGAAGTCATTGACAAGTGAACTTAGCCATGTCGGTAATTGTCGACTACCTGGTTGGGGTGTGCGAGATGATAATAATCGATGGTTAGAGACCTTGAATGACATGGTTCAAAATCGTTCGCAATGGCGCCGGTGCATTTATTCTTTGTGTTCTCTCAAATCCTAATCTTCTGGATTTTTCAACCCCTCTAGTTTCGACTCTAAACTTTTCTCACTGAATCATACTTCTTGAATAGTATCTCCTAATCATAACCTCTCCGATTACTTCTAATTCCCTTACTACCTCTTCTACTATTGGATTTGAATTGACGATTACTTCTCTGTGCTGATGTGGTATGGCAACATGAACTGATGTACTTATGTACGAAGTTCTACGTTGCATCTGACTGACTGACTGACTGAGTTGGTTAAATTAGTTGTTGTGTATCGGTCAATATGAAATTACTTACTATATGGATAAAGTGTTAAATGAGTGAGTGAGTGTGGTAGGATTTCATTTCTTTTGTCTAGAGTTATCCGTAACTAATTAATATGATTAATAATATCACGGTAGTGCAACTCAACTTATCGGATAAAAAAACACAAATATAATGAAAGCTAAAGCTTAAAATAAAACCTCCGATGAAAATTATTCCCTAATGTTCAGTAATCGCTTAACTAAGTAAACAGAACAGTTGAGCATTGTGCAAATGTTTCGAATAACTTCAGTCAATACTGTACTGTGTTATAATGTTTGAAAATCTTATATTGATTAAACTATACACTTTGAATAAAATTCTCATCCATTATTCTGTACCTAAGACTACTTATGGTCTTATGCTAAATTTGGAATTATCAGGATCAATAAATTTAATCGATGTTTGATTACTCCACAGTTTACCTATTAGAAACCATTTCATTACAAATAGCGTAATAGTCAGAGTATATGTGATTGGTCATTGAGTGCGGACAAACAAGCACATAGCCTACTGATTATTAAACATGTGATTTCCTTTCCTCTGATTGACTTCCACTCTGGACTCACTGAAAGTGGCTGTTAGTAACCGCGTGGAATAAAGTATTTTCTAGCGTTACTCTGGTCCAATATTTTGGTTATGAATCGTGCATCTGATATAACATTCTCTAGTCTCTGTGTACTGTGTACTGTTCGAGCATCCAATTTAATGATAGTATAAACTCGATCACCTAGACCGGTCTCACTATCATACTAACGTACTGTCCTACTGTGGTGTGAGCTACTTATAAGTAGTATGTGAAGTGAGTGTCAATGTAATGTCTGGCAGCAGAACATGGTGGAAGATCAAGCAAGAAAGGAAGAGTTAGAACGCAATGGAATTTGTATGGAACGCATGAATAGTGAGTGACAATGGATTGATGTTTTGCAACAGGAACAGTCCAGTTGGATATGATAGACTGATATTTTGCAAACGAACAATTTACGATATGGTTTTCCTATTTTACTGAGTAACTTTGTAATTTTCGTTAAATACAATTCGGTTGCCTTCACCTGCGTTCTCCCTCACTATACTACTATCCCATCTTAAACTGAGTGCATACATTAAACAAACGTGATATAGATTACTAGTGAAGTGTTTTACAAAATTAAAAGTCATATTCAACTGCGGATCAGGTTTAACGTCGTCACATATTCCTTCTTTTTTTAGTGGGCCGATTAGCTGAATATTGTTTTAAGCATTAGGATGATTTTGATCGTAACTTTGTAATTAAGATGATAAAATCACATACTGTATTATAGTTGCATTTATTTAGAAAAAAGACACACACTTATACACTGTATTATTATTATCGCTACTTATTCTATTCATCAATACACTAACACAACAGCAGCAGCAAATATAATACAAACATATTTGTTTTTGCACAATTATTATACAACCTCAAATGCCTCGTCATCTATTTAGTGACGCGCATGAATGGATTAACGAGGGGGGGGTTGTGGTGGCGGCTACATCTTCGTGGTCCCGCTAGGCAACGTGGCGGTGGATACATCGCTGCGGCTAAACGCCGTTGAAAGGGATGTAGTAGGATTATCGAGGGCGGCCCTGGACCCTATGTTCGGGGAAGCAGCCGCAGACATCCTGGACTACTGACGCCGACCCTATGTGGTTGTCCCTTACATGCTTCACCGGATGTTGTCTGTGAACTGGCGTCGTGGCCCCTTAAACAGGGGTCTCAAGTTGGGTTCCGGTGCTTTAGTGCTGAAAAGGGCATTGAACACCAATGATGTCTGCCCACTTCTGTGGGATGAACCCTGCTTGGCTGAGCGCTTGCGTTTGGTCGAGTTCATGACATCTTCTTCATGGAAGGGTGTACGTTCTAGCTGACCTTGTGGGACAAACTCGATCTTTAGCTTAATGCGGGGTAAGATGGGCCTCGATCGATTGTGTCAACGCAAGGCAGTTGGATGCCAGACGGTTGGAATGGCTGCTGGTTAGTGCACTGCTTGGGTGGCTCGGTAACCTGCTACGGGGTCCCTTGTCCGGAAGGATAAGCCCGCCTTGCCGCCCTCGCCGATTGTGGGCTGTGGTTTGGTTGGTGGGATTTCTTGATTCATAAGTGCCCGTGAAGGGGCCACTGCTCGTGTGCGTGCTTTTTGGATGTCCGATGTGTCTGCAGACCGAACCGGACAACATGTATATACCCGAAAGGGGCAGGGGTCAGTTCTGTTGGCAACAGTGAGTATCCTTGCGCTGTATATCAACGCAGAGATGTGCATGTGCAGCAGGCATGTTGGTTGACCATGAATACAACCTCAATCGTTTAGAAGACAAAAAAACACAAACAACAACACTGTATTTGATACTCTGACCCGATGATAATATTATTACAATAACAAACTTATGAGATTGGTATTCATAGACATGTTATTGTAATGCTTTTGTTACTTGAAGATCAAGTATATATTCATTTCAGGGAGGTTAGTTAGTTAGTTCGTTTAAATTTTTTAGTCAATTGCAATTTGTGTATAATTAGAATGATAATTAAAAATTTTTATCGTTTGATTCATTCTCAGTTGATTGTTTGAGAGATATCATACCAAAGCAGTACTGAACACACAATTGCTTAGTCCTTCAGCTGTTTGAACTCTCCAGCAGTCTGCATCTATGATTCTCTCTAGGGATTGAATTTGGTTTTTGGTTCTCACTATTCACTAGGTTGGGTGGTAATCCAGTGATCTAATTCCTATGTGATTCAATTTGCGACCGACCATAATGATTATAGTATTTCAACTCGTTTTTTAAACTTTTAACAGGGTTTTTTAAAATAACCAAAAAATTTTCACAGCGTTTTTTAAAATAACCAAAAAACTGAATGAACTTATCTGAATTCACTGAATCAACAAATGTTTTAGCAAAGAGAACTTCATTTTCTGTTATAGCCGATATTAAACTTATATTGGTTCCACGCGTTGATGGAACTAGGGCACTTGCCGGTTTTCCTCTTGTAGATCTTCCCAAGGTTCTTCTTAAGTACAAATTAAAAGAAGATTCATCTATAAAAACTTTTATAAATGTATCTTCAATGTTCATAAAATTTTGAGCATAAATTTGGCGTTTGTTTTTACTGGATTCCGAATTTATATTGACCGATGTATAAGAAATCTTTTTCAAAGTAATCTGAAGTCTATAAATTATCCTTCTTATAGATTCAAGAGAAAGGCCTATAGAAAATATGTTTTCTATTTTCTCTCGAATTTCTACCATCGTTATTAACGGGTTTAATTCTATAAATTCTTCAACAAAATTGATAATATCACCGCATATCTTCTTATTTGATGGTTTTCCTGTTTTTTTCTTCTCAACTCGCGATTCCTTTTTATACAACCTTATAATATTTGTAGCGGCCTGATAGTTTACATCTGTAAGAAATGCCGCATCCTTGACGCTGTATCCATCTTCAATAACTTTTTTTTATAAGGCTTTTTCTTTTTTCATTCGAAATCAAGTTGTTTTTTCTATTTATTTCTGACATTCTAAGGATTACAAAAAATTTTAAAAAACCCTGTGAAAATTTTAAAAAATTTTTTGGTTATTTTAAAAAACCCTGTTAAAAGTTTAAAAAAACGAGTTGAAATACTATATATTATTGCATTGATAACAACCGTTTCACTTTAGGCATGTTGTCTAAACCCCATTAGTTCACATCAAAACATTTGATAGTCTCACAAGTGAGCTGAACTATTATTGTCGTATATTCAGTGCAGCCTATACAAATGAAACTTATCTTCATTGAAATTTCTCCTCATTACATTTTAAAAATGTTAAATTGTCAAGTTACGCTTCTGTGTTTATTATTTTAAACAATATATACATATAGAATATTATTATTATTTGTGTTAACTTTAACTTTTAAAAACAAACATTAATACTCATTTCTTACAGTATTCGAGCTGCATGGGATGCATTCATTAAATTATCTGAAAAAGAACAAGAAGAATTTCTTGGTACATTACATGCACAAAGCCGAATTGATGATGAAGAGGAGGTGTCAAGTAGTGATGAGGATGATGTGATATCATCATATCCTTCTACTGTTGTTCATCATTCCTTGTCTTCTTCTATATCACGTCCAAAACGACGCCATGTAAAACATCGATGCAGACGATCTAGACGTGAAGAGAGAAATAAACAATTTACCGATGTGAATTCATTATTGCTACAATCAAATCTTGATATGTGTAGGTGTCTAATTTATTTATGAGTATTGTTTTTAAAAAAATAATTTCCATGTGTATTTCTATGTGTGTAAAATCTAAACGTAGTTTCTGTGATTCAGTTGAATTCTAAGTAGTTGAGTTTGATGACAACTAACTGTATAGTATTTGTTATCCCCGACCGTAGCTGCTACCTTGACGTGATGGTCGGGCTTGCCTATCATCATGAACCAACCGAGCTATACTGGTTGGAACGTATGTTCCTGCAGGTCCTACCATGCCAGGCAGGTCGATTGGAGAACGATGAGACTAAAAGCAGATACCCAAGGTCTCAGGGCGAAGTCGTACTGCTGACTGTGATGGAAGGGTGTGACAGCAGTAAGGTGTTTCCCTCGGACAACCAGCATGTGCAGCGATGCTGCCTCCTCACAAGGAAGGAAGGGTTAGAAAAGGTCGACCCTAAAAATGTCACACCTCACCCTACCTCACGGATTTCCGTCTCCTTGGGTAAGGGTGCCCACTAAGGGCCACTAAGAGCGGAGCTAATCCTCAAAAATCCTTTCATAAAAAGGCCGTGCGTGACCGGCCTGAAGCAGTTGTCCCTTGGACTCTGCGGTCACGCTTCCAGGTCTCTCAGATCAACACTAATCTATCTTCCTTTTCAGGTCCCTCAAGAAACAACCTTCCACGGTGTGGGCATCCGGGAAGTGACAACCGCCCTCATACCCGTAACAGCACGAGAGACCAAATCGGTCGAAATCAAATCTTTCCTACACCCACACATACCTCTCTGACTGAGTATTTGTTATCGCTTAATGGGTTAATTTTTTATACACATGGGACAACCGAGTAGGTAATGCTATAATTAAGAAACAAGTACTTGGTACGGATGGCTAATCAATCGATGAAGTAATGAAATTTCATCAGTTGAGGACGGTTGGGACATGTGTTGCGACTGCCTCAACGAGCATTTTAAGGGAGAGAGTTGCATCCCCGAACATGCTTGCATTGTTGCTTCAGGTGGTCAGAAGACTTTACATTTTGTTCGCATCGGCAACAGAATGGTGACAACCAATCACGCACCTCTGAAAGCATTCATCATTCTCCTTAAGCTACTTTTTTTTATTCGTGCCATCAGTGCTAACGAAATCACTGAGTTCTATTCCTAATATCCTAGTTGTTTCCTGTTTGATAAAATCCTTTTTTGTACGGCGGATACAGAAGGCTCGATTGGCTTTTGCCAACCTGCGTCACTTATGGCAAAGGCGAGATATCCGTTTTCTGACTAAAAGACGAGTGTACTGTGCAGTGGTTCGCTCCGTCTTACTTTGTGGCTGTGAAACATGGCCAGTGAGAGTAGAAGATATTCATAGGTTACTGGTTTTCGATCATAGGTGTCTTCGAAGCATTGCTCGTATATCGTGGGACACCCGAGTGAGCAACGCTGTTATTAAGACACGGGTGCTAGGTAAGAATAGCAGATCAATGGATGAAGTAATGCAACTTCATCAGTTGAGGTGGTTGGGACATGTGCTGCGTATGCCTAACCACCGAGTGCCCCGACGAGCTATGTTTTGTAGTGTAGAAATAGTTTGGAAGAAAGCTAGGGGCGGACAAACCAAAACATGGCCATGAAGTCATTGACGAGTGGACTTAGCCATGTCGGTAATTGTCGACTACCTGGTTGGAGTCGGCGAGGTGATAATAATTGATGGTTAGAGACCTTGAATGACATGGGTCAAAATCTGTACATTTCCCGTTCTCTTGACACAGAGAAAGTTACATTTGTAAAAATCTCCAGCCCTGAAAATAAATAATAGCCGTTCGGTCCAATTCTTCATCACGAAATTTATCAACAAGAAATGAGGTCAATAAATAATTCTATCCTGATCACTCTTCTTATCATGTTCATATTATTGACCTTGTTTATAATGTGAAAACTGGATTCACTTTGCCTGTGACATGTATTCAAAATATGCCGTTTAAGGATATGCATATTTTTAGTATTGCGGGGTTGTTGTGAGCATTGTTAAGTTTTATTTGTAACCAGGTTTCTAATGGTGGTCTAACATTGATCGATTCATGGTTACAAATATTTTCAGTAAACAACTAACACTTTTGAATACATCTAGGGTTCAATTAAAAAAAACAAACTAGAAGTACATTTTTAGCTATTTTATTTTTAACACTGAGAAATTTTACAAGTATTCATTGCTTATCTTATATGTGCTTATCAATATGTTTTAAGGACCCTAAGGATAATCATGCATCAATACACATAATGGATGATTCATTTATCCTTTGTAAAGGTGATACATACTGACCTGATTAAGAAAATTCAGATATTTTAATATCCACTCAACTAATATAAGTCCCACATTTGAAATCATGAATCTATCAATGTTAGACCACCATTAGAAACTTGGAAGTACTGGACGGCTGTTTCGTCCTGGCATGGGACTCATCAGCAGTGTGCATCCAGCACTCCTGTACCTCGCAGGACTCGAACACAGGACCTTCAGTCTTGTGCGCGAACGCCTAACCTCTGAACCACTGAGCCGGTATCTAACAGTGTTAATGTCTAACTTCGATCAGTTCACGGAGTTATGCAACCTCATACACTGTCTTCGGGAGTTACTGTCTACACCCGAACAGGTTGAACTTCACTAGTCAAGACTTCCCACTAGGAACTCGCGCAAAATCTCTAGATTGATCAGAGTTAGACATAAACACTGTTGGATGCCGGCCACCTCAGTGGTCCTCAGGTTAGGCGTTTGCGCGCAAAACCGAAGGCCCGCGGTTCGAATCCTGCAAGGTGAAGGAGTTGTGGATGCGCACTGCCACTAATGAGTCCCATACCAGGATGAAACGGTCGTCTTTCAATGCTTGTGGGTTTCTAATGGTGGTCTAACAACAATGATTGATTGAAAATTTCAATGCGTATGTACAAAATAATGTTGATTCTAAATTGCTTGAAACAATCATTATACTCTTTATCAATCAGTGATTACAAAATAACTTTCATAACTTCATCAAATTAAGTTAATGCATCATACAAAACTATTTGTTCACTTTAGACTATTTTACTGCAATCTTTCATCATATTAGAGATTAATTATCTCTCTTAATTAATGTAAAATTATCATATGAGAAATTGACAACTATTTAGTGAGATAGATATAGATAAGCAAGCTCATTATTAACAATAAACAATGTTTGTGTGATTGTTGAGGTCAACTGAACTCTAACACTCAAATAAATTCTCACCATACGCCTTCGTGGATCACATAACTACGGCTAGCTTACGTATATATTATGATAATAATGTGACTAGAGAGAGAGAGAGCTCACACCGACTGGTACTACATTTTTGTAGTTCATTAACTATCAACATTCTCATAGTAATAATGGTTCACATCAACTTGAATAACAGTTTTATTGTTAATGATTTTATATAATTGGTAAAATCACTATTGAATTTTACTAAACGAAAGTATATATACAAATTAATAATTAGTACAGTCAATTTACAATTCATACAATTGACCTCATTAGGATTTAAAAGTCTAGTTTAAAATTGTCATAAACATCATATTTCTGAACCAAACTTGTTTATTAGTAAAATACGAAAAAATTTTTTTTATTATTGAAACATAGAGCTATTTAGAGGTAAACCTTACAGTGAGTGCACTGATGGCCTTGAGTAGTTGACCAATCAGAATCGAGATAATGCTTCAATCTATTTAGGGGATAGATGACTCACTTGACAATATCAATATTAGAAATGTCTGATCCTTAAAATCGATAAATAAAGTCTATGATAAAACCAAAATGTGCATTTAAAATACTGTTTAAGGTACATTGTAAAATACACTTTATCCTAATGATAGAGTTTGTTTTCGAGTGATAGTGAAGTTAGATAGTATTTTCCAATCTAACTGTCACTCTGAATCTCAGCTGGAAAACTGTAAACAGAAGGTTGGCGAAGCATTGCATTTTGTGATGAAAACCCTAACCCTTATTTGTAACCTCACCCTTCTTGAATAAAATCTTCTAATCCTAACCTCTCCGATTACTTCTAATACTTTTACAACCTCTCCTACTATTGGATTTGAATTGACAATTACATCTCTGTGCTGATGTGGTATGGCAACATGAACTGATGTACTTATGTACGAAGTTCTACGTTGCATCTGACTGACTGACTGAACCTCATCTCAAAACTCCAGCTTAACTCTTGTTACTAACCATGACCTTTTTGTATTATAGCTGATGTCAGTAGTTGATGGCTAAAACTCTATGAAGTGATAGCCCTGACTCATAATATTAACTCGACTCCTAACCTTTCTCTTCTACTACAAGGTATAATCTGATATGCGAAGGTTAATTATTCCAATCTAAGCTATTATTATCCTACTGTTATTATTTCATTGTTTCAGGCGGTTTGTAGTTTTCATAACCAGTCAGCATTTCCTGATTGACTGATAGGTGGTCACTCAAGAATCATCCTTATATCATATCATACTTTAACCCTATTTAGGTTTTATCTCTAAAACACTCAAATATTGACAATAAGTACAGGGAATTTATTAGTTTTCGCTTTAGATATGTATAAGATAGGGATGAAATCATTTCAAACAAAAGATTTCTGAATGAATTACCAAGAAAAATGTGTGTGAAACTACACTACAAGTACTGAGTTTATTAATATCCTGTTCAGTAAAACAACATGTCGTTAAGTAGGCAATATTGATTTCGTGAACTGTAATGTTTATTTATCATTTCAAATATATTCATAAAATATATATATGTAATGTACATTGTCAATTTGAAAATTTAGATACCAAGTTTGTCCTATCTTATGTATATATGTACCTACAACATATGTGCCACTAACTAACATTCTGTTAAGGTAATATACAAGCATATATACCTATAGGAGAGAAAACTTATTTACCACTTTACAGTTTGCAGTGTACTGTTGTCAAGCGGTGTAATTGATTTACACAATTAGATAGATATAACTATTATTACCGTGATTATATATACTGGTCAAGGAGATAGAATTATGCATAGGTTTTTGACTTGCTAAAGACTTTTTGAACATTTTATTAGCTAGCCTTGGTTGTTGATCATCGGGTAACGTATTTCGGCCACATACAAACTTCTTTTGATATTTTCAAGTTACACGCTAGAACTCTGTTTATCCCTGTGTATTGATAATTTCATTGGCTTTCAAGTACAATAATACCCATTGTTATTAGAAATCTATGTGAACAAGTAAATTGTCTTTATAGTCAAGAGACAGTTATCAATTTTTCCTAGTTAACTTTTAATGATATACGTGGTTTCTTCACTAACATTGATATGATATTGTAACGTATGAATGTAAACACGTCGTTGGATATGCTTGAACTATTTCGAGTTTACCTTAGTCGGAAAACGAGAGCGACGATCGAGGATCCGGTGACACGACATGCTACTAACATCCGATTATCCCAACCCCCATTGAATAAAAGAAAAAGACTTGATATGAAGTAGAACCTGTATACTACAAGCATCCAGAAAGTACGAGGTCCGAGTCCAGAATAGAATCAGGATCCCGAGCTAGGGATCCGGGTCCTGGTCATAAAACAGATAATGTGTATTTATACATTTAGGTCGAATAGGAAACAGTATCGAAGTCTGTGACATTCACAGTTAAGACGACCAATAGGAAACAACATATAATTACGTGACATTGATATCTGGGACGACCATAAAATTGACCAGTAAGAATTAACCAATAGGAATTGACCAATAATTCTCTTAGGATATTGGATGAATATCCTAACAGATATGCATGTAATTTTTTACCGATTTTCTCTTGTCATAATAATTACCAATTTGTTTCTATGTGTGCGATCTTTAAGAAAATCATCTGAATTATGCATTAACATCCCATTCATATCAAATGGCGTTCGATCATAATTAATGTAACTTTGTTTCCAATTTAGTAACAACAATGAAACTATCCGAAAACAAAATTCAAATATTAAAATGTAAAGTTGTTGTACATCTTCATCAGAATAGACTTTTTATATACTAGTGAAATTTTAATTCAACTTGACAACAATGCATCATTTTTACAGCCAATTAACTAACAAACGAACGAAAGTCTGTTGTTCTTAAACACATGAGCGTCATCGGTTGACCTCTATCAATTATTATCAATCAATAGGGATTAGGAATCGCCATTTAACACTGGCAATCATGTGATCTGTCACAATAGATCAATCATGTGGTAGTTGTTTGTATAGGGCATGGCTTCAGTTTTGTTGTAGTTGTGAGATTGTTCTAGTCACCATCATTTTATTGTGTTCCGGCTAGAGTTTATATATCTCTCGTTTTTTGTAAAAAAAAATCATTTGTCTATACTAATAATATAATAATAATTATTATTTTTAATAAAAATTATAACTAGGTATATCTGTTCAATCAGAATCTGATAACAATGTAACCAACAATGATGATAATCCCGATTTGAACATTGAACAACAACAACAACACATTTCCGCTCGTTTACCATCCCTTTTATCCGACTACATTCCTGTAATGCTCCCGGTGAACAATGTAAAACATAATCGAAAACGTTGTAAGCGTTTACTTACACCAACAGATCTTTATTTATTACAACGCGTCGAATTGGAATTAAGAGAATATTTTTTCTCTCCCACCAATGCAAACAATGTTGTTGGCCGTTGGACACCATCATTATCATTGTTGACACAGTCAATGAATCACAACTGTACAATTAGTAATACTTATCCTAATTCAAATCTATTATGCTTGAATTCATTTCAAAGATTATTAATTCATTCCGTTGCTAGTTATTTAGGATTGAATTCATATAGTAAGTGGATGTTTTCCAATCATAATTTTTTTCCATTGATTTTCTTCAGTCTAGCCAGTGATGAGACAGGGAGAGATTTTTGTTCCAGTCCAAGTTATTGGCTCATGGACTGATCAAATGACCAACAAGAATAGTTGTAAATGAGTCGTAGTATTAGTATTAGTATTAGTATTAGTAGTAGTAGTAGTAGTAGTAGTAGTAGTAGTAGTATCAATGATGGTAAAACACTCACTTACCTGTTACCCCTCCAACGGAGCATAGACCACCGACAAGGATTCTCCAACCTACTCTGTCCTGAGCTTCCCTTTCGAGTTCTGTCCTATTTTTGTTCGTTCTTCTCATGTCTTTTTCTATTTCTCGGCGTAATGTGTTTCTTGGTCTTCCTCTTTTCTCTTAACCTTGAGGGTTCCAAGTGAGTGCTTGTCTTGTGACATTGTTGGTTGCTTTCCTCAATGTTTGTTGTTGATGGTATCTGACCAACGGATCCTCAGTATTTTGCGTAGACAACTGTTAATAAATACTTGTCTCTTGTGGATAATGGTTTTTGTAGTTCTCCGATTTTCCTCCCCATACAGTAGAACTGTCTTGACATTTGTATTGAAAATTCTGACTTTGGTGTTTTTGGAGTTCCAGATGTTCTACAATTGTAGAAATGCAACCCTTGCTTTGCTGATTCGAGCCTTCATATCTGCATCGGATCCACCTTGATTATCGATGATGCTGCCCAGATATGTAAAGTTTTTCACGTCCTCCAAGGCATCCCTATCAAGAGTGACACTGTGCATGTTTTTATTATATTGGAGAATCTCGCCTTTCCTTTTATGTATGTTGAGACCTGCTGCTGCTGAGAATGCTACTACACTGGTCGTCTTCTCTTGTATTTGTTGTTGCGAATGCGATAGAAGAGCCAGATCGTACAGCTGCGTCCTAGTTGTCCATTGGATACAGTGCTTCCCACTAGATGTCGACGTCTTTAGAATCCAGTCGATCACCATGAGAAAGAGAAAGGGTGAGAGTAAGCAACTTTGCACGACACTGGTCTTCACCTCGAACGATGTTGTCAGATCAATAATCATCAAAAATGAGGCTATACATCTGTGTATACAAAATGCCAGTAACGGTTTGTAATTCTTAGTTGTTCATGTTTAGTAGTACAACAAGTGACTAGTTTCCGTTAACGTACATATGTGCACTCCATTTAGCCACATGTTTAAGACTCAGTAGCTCAATGGATAATGAATGTATTGTTTAAAACGATCGCTGCTGGATTCGAGTTTGACTGAAAAAACATCATCACTACAATGTTTTTTTTCCACATCCAACTAATAAATCCCAAGTAGGTCGAAACATATTTTATGCATCCCTGCTCTCAACCTCCATCCTTATCTACAGGAGAATATAGTTTAGAAAGTCGGTTTGAATTTACTGAGCAACAACAATGATTGCATGATGATATATTTCATCCATTGATACAATTCAAACCATCATGATGGCTATTAGATTTAACAATTATCGTTCAATAATCACTCTCACACAGTTATTCGGACTTACCGAGATTTAATAATTATCACTGTCTGTTACTTTATTGACTGGGAGTGATCAGGACGAAGTCCTACGCAGTCTGGAATGCGGAGTCGATGGTCAAGGTGTCCAGCTATCAGCTACTAAGCCCTAGGGAAACCAACGCTACCTCACCAACTTCGTTTTATCTGACTGGTTGCACTACTACTCACCCTCAAACTTGAAGTTTATTTACAGCCATAAGTCTCACGCCAATCGTTTGACACTTGTCAGTAAGGTGTATCTGTAATCTTGAAAATTGTGTGTTACTTTTACACTGATATCTTTTGGATCAACTTGCATGGAATCGGGGCTCAGAGTTAGTTGATCGATGTGATCAAATCAGTCATCAATCAATGTGTTATAAAGTTTTCGTTAAACGTTAATCTTTCAACAAGACCACTGGATGCCAGCCAGCTTAATGGTCCAGAGGTTAGGCTTCCGTGCACAATAACGAAGGTCCCGAGTTCGAATCCTGCGAAGTGTGGGAGTCGAGGATGCGTACTGCCACTAATGAGTCTCACACCAGGACGAGACGGCCGTCTCTCATGGTGGTCTAACAATGATTGGTTGATGATTTCAAATGTGTAAAAACAATTATCTTCATAAACTCTAAATGAAGAATTAATTTTATTGTTACATTTTATAAATACGATAATTACCTTTATATGTTTATATATTTATATATGTATACCGTGTTGTTGTGTTTAAGGTACATGGTCTAATTCACTGGGTGAACGTCAATTATGGGTGGAGAGAATTTTAGGAAAATCTAGTCAACCACCAACTGAACATTTTGTAACATTAACTGAACAAAACATCATACAATCATCATCATCATCATTGAGTACATGATGGTTACTAGTTTGTGTAAACCTGATAATTTACCACCCTACCATTTTTAGTCGTACTATTTTCTCTCTTCATCTATTTATTTCATGTATTGATCACGTTAATAATAATAATAGTAATAATAATGATAATCACAATAATAATAACGATAATAATAATAATAGTAATCATAAACATAGTTGTGTTTTAATCGAAGTGTTCGTTCATGGAATAGAAAAATGACACCCTCGATGTTCAGCAACTATTAACCTTGTGAATTCACGTTACTTAAATTGTTAGTATCCCGATTGTAGCTGCTTCCTTGACGTGATGGTCTGGCTTGCCTATTGTGATGACCCAACCGAGTTATATTGGCTGGAATATATGTTCCTGTAGGTTCTACCATGCCAGGCAGGTCGATTGGAGAACGATAAGACTAAAAGCAGCAACTTGAATGTCTGAGGGTAAAGTCGTACTGCTGACTGTTAGAGGGGTGTGATAGCAGTGAGGTATTTCCTTCGGACAACCAGCGTCTGCAGCGATGCTATCTTCTCACAAGGAAAGAGGGAAGAGATTAAAAAAGGTCGGCCCTAAAAATGTCACACCTCACCTTACCTGACGGATTTCCGTCTCCGATGGTAAGGCCATTTAAAGAGAGAAGGTAGCAGTTCAAAAACTTTCCATATTAAGGCCGTGCGCAACCGGCCTCGATTAGTTGTCCTTTGAGCTCTGCTGTCACGCTGCCAGGTCGCAAAGACCAACGCTAACCCAGTTTCCTTTTAAGGTTCCTCCCACACAGTGTGGACAAGCGGGAAGTGACATCCACCTTCTTATAAATATATCAGTATAGGACATCGCAACATATCACATGAAGAACATCAACGTGGTAAAACTATAGCCTAAATTGGAATTCCCAACGAAAGTATACTTTTCTATCTGGGGGACTTAACTGCCAAATGAACAGAAAAGTGGCCAAAAGTTTTGGTTACAACAAACTTATTGAACATGAAAAAATCGATAAACAACTTCAGCATACAATAATTTTTTTTAATTGTCAAACTGTTTTTAATTATGAGATCTACCATATTTTCATGTCATAACAACTCTTTATGATTAGTCTATAATGTAAATCTATACCTTTGCCGCGTCAAAGTTGAAAAAACACTGCACCTCGGATAGTCAGAAATAGAATTTTTAGATTATAATAATCAACCTTAAAACAGATTATCACTGAATGAATGATCTCATGTGCTGTCATAATAGGTATAAGGGCAGTAGTCACTTTCTTTGAAGGGATACTTTTTGAGGTACTTGAAAATTTAATTGGCTTAGAAATGGTCAAGACAACTGCTTAAGGCCGTTCGAAAATATGGCCTTTTTTCGAGTAGTCCTAGATGAGTTAGTCACTCACTGTTTAAAGTCTTGTCGTCGATGATGAAAACTGTGCTACTCTCACCCACTTCCTGTTGTAAAAAGATAGCATCACTGCAGATGCTAGTTATCTTGGAGAAATACTTTTAAGCAATCACTCTTATACAGTCTGGAGTACTACTTCACCTTTGAACGACGAATTTACTGCATTCAGTCATACCGTTCTCTAGTCAACATACTGGGATGGTTCCTGCCACCATATATTTCGAGTGAGCTGTCATGATATACGAACCTAACAACCACGTCAAAATAGCAACTAAAGTTGGGAAATCAATGATTCAAATTTTATAAGACTTTACAATGAATAAACCGTGAGCTATGTGCAATATGTATCATAACCATAAAAAGCTTGTGACTCGATGAAGGCAGTATTATATATTACTAAGTTTGGTAAAATTTAGACCGCTATCTGTTTGTCTTTTAATGTGTACGTTTCGTTGAAATCACTTTATTGTGATTCCATCAGCAATTTTAAGTGGTAACTACCATTGAATGAGAGATAATTTTTACTTACTTACTTGCACCTGTTACCCCTAACTGAGCATGGGCCACTGACCAGCAAGTTATCGTTTTAGGTTGGCGTTGTTTTTAGCGAGTTGGAACTAACTCTACAGGATGGTGTGGCTAATCCCATGCTCAACCCTCTTCCTTTATCCAGAGGCATGGGACTGGCAGTACACCTAGAAGGTGTACTCCAGGTGGAGTTCAGAGATAATTACACACCATTAGTAGTGTAGTAAAGGAGAACACAGGTGAGGCCAACCGAATTGTACTGAGTTACTCAGTAAAATAGGAAAACCATATCGTGAACGGTTAATTTGCAAATCTTGAATCAATCATCAATCCATTTTCTGACATATCACTTATTCATGCGTTTCATACAAATTCCATTGTGTTCCCACTCTTCCTTTCTTTCTTGATCTTCCCCCATCTTCTGCTGCCAGACATTACGTTTACACTCGCGTCATATACTACTTATAAGTAGCGCGCACCACAGTAGTTGTGTGATCTTTTTTTTCTTGTCCAGCATAACTTCCTTGTTGAATGAATGCATTGAAATTGTACAACTTAATGAGTTGACAATATTTATTATCTATCAAACACTCACTACATTACTTACATTCAAATAAGATTAGCCATTTTTTTTTGAACGGGAATTCTTGTTCTTTTTTTTCGCTCTCTTAATGTCATACTTTTCAATTGTTCGTTGGTGGATCATACAATCTTTAATTACCACCCACTGGACTTTTTTTGTCTAGCGCACATTCTTTTGGTGTCCTTTTATCTTTTACTGAAATTCTTTACTGTTTTCAAAAATAATGACTTGATTAATTTTTATTTTTTAAAATGTCTATAGCGTAACAAATAGATAATGAAGTGAACTTTGAAATGTTGATCATTTTAAGCGTATGGAAATTTGTCACGAAAAAAAATAAAGTTAATTAGAAGTGAATAACTTCATTCATATGAAAGTGATAAACAATTGTTATGTTATGACCGACGATTAGAATAAGCATATATAATATAGAGAGAGATAAGTATTCTTTTTTTTTAATGAATAACAAAGAGTTCAGGAATACGGGGGAACAAACGTGAATTACCTAGTAGCTTCACTGATATAGTTCCTTCTACAGCTATTGGATAGACTTGAACAATTCTGGAAACATATGACCATTGTGTTATTTTCATAGGAAATCGTAATTGTCAGTACCATATATTCTTGGTTAACCAACAAGCCTGCTGCACATGCACGCCGCTGCAACACTAGGATTCTCACAAAAGCCGATTTTGCAATCACCCCTGCCCCATACGAGAACGCATATGTTGTATAGATTGGTCTGCAGACAGGTGAACGTTTAAAAAGAACGCACACGAGCAGTGGCTCCTGTTCTGGCACTTATGAATCAACTCAATCCTTCCAACCAATCCACTACCCACAATCCCCAATTGGAAAGGCGAGCTTCCCCAGCTAGACCTGGCACGGCGAACGGATTACCGAGCCACCCAGTAGTGCGCTAACCAGCAGCCGTTCAAACAGTCTGGCCTCCGACTGCCTTTCTCTGATACGATCGGTCGGAGCCCTCAGACCCCACATGAAGTTAAAGGTCGAGTTTGTCCCACAAGGTCAGCCGAAACGTACACTCTCCCATAGGGAATATGTCATGGACTCCACCAAGCGCAAGCACTCGTCCAAGCAGGGTTAATCCCACTACATAAGTGGGCAGACATCATTGGCGTCCAGTACCCTTTAGCACCGCATCACATAACTCAACTGGAGACCCTTGTTTAAGGGGCCTCAGCGCCAGTCAACACACTTCATCGAGATAAAGAGTGTTTAGGGCAACAACATAGGGTCGGCGTCAATATTCCAAGATCTTTACGGCTGCTTCCCAAAACAAATCGTCTAGGGCCGTCTTCAGGTACCCTGGAAAGCTATATCCCATTATTTCAAATTTACCTACGCTCAATGGACGGGATTCAGACTTAGAGGCGTTCAGTCCTAATCCCCCAGAGTGGCAAACCGCATCCACGGCCTTGCGACCATGAACACGTACCATTATTCTGGACCATGCTAGGCACGGTATCCTAAGCGTTCGGAACGGCTTTTAGCCGCAGCGCTGTAAACAACGCCACATTGCCTGGCAGGACCACGAAGAGGTAGCCGCCACCACAACCCCCAAAAGGCTCCATTTGCGTGCGACACCTAATATACCCATTCAATTAGATGACGAGGCATTTGGCTACCTTAAGAGAGTCATAGTTACTCCCGCCAGTACCATGTATCTCTTATTCTTTTTTTACTTACGCCTGTTACCCTCAATGGAGCATAGGCCGCCGACCAGTATTCTCCAGCCTCCTCTGTCCTGGACTTCCCTTTCCAGTTCTGACCAATTTTTGTTCATTCTTCGCATATTTTTCTCTATTTCTTGGCGTATTGTGTTCCTTGGCCTTGCTCTTATCCTTTTACCTTGAGGTTTCCAAGTGAGGGATTGTCTTGTGACTCAGTTGGACTCTAACGAGAAAACATATTTCTTATTCGTGTCCTTGTAATTCTGTATTATTTATGGGTTTGCATGTTTTGTACTTATTATCTTGTCCTCCTCACATTACGCACCATCGATTTTGAATTATGTTATCACTTGTAATGAGTACTATACCTTGGCTCGGACGAGAATGGGGATAGTCCGCTCCCCCTCTCAAAATGCCATCGTATGACCGTGTATATACAGCCACTGTTAGACAAGTCCTAAGAATCGAACATTAAATTATTAATTTCGACAATATAAAGTTGCCTATAGCTCACGTCATTTACATCGATTGATCATCGAGTAGTAATTGTTATCATGTTTGTTTATTATTTAGAACTAATTGGATTCTCTTGGTCATGATGCAATTAACGTCATGATTTGAAATCTCTAGACATCGCTTGAATGCCGTTTTGGAATTAAGTGGTCGTCAGACAACTCCAGATCTAGATTCCGCCATCATGAGGGAACTAGTCCTATTTGTGAGTTTCGATCCCGCATCGCTTAGCTCCTCCGTTTGAGCTGTAATCACTGAGCTACTCAGGCCACTGTCTCATTCCCACAAAAAGTTATTCACCTCAAATCAACAAACAACATTCTTTTGTAGGTCTAAGTGAAGTGACGGCCGTTTCGTCTTGGTATGGGACTCATCGGTTGCAGTGCGCATCCACGACTTCTGCACATCGCAGGATTCGAAACAAGGGCCTTCGGTCTTGTGCGCGAACGCC